TCGAGGCTGCGGTGCTGGGAGCGACAGCAGCACTCCAGTCTGGGCGACAGAGTGAGACTCCAACTCAAAAAAAATAAATAATAAAAAAAATAACCTGCAGGCTAGAGGATGTCACAGGAGCCAGAGATTAGTTCGCAAAGTGCTGGCGCCAAGTGACGTGTGTGAGAGAATGGGGCATCCAGCGATGGATCCTATTGAGGAAAGATGCTCACAGGAGGCTGTCACTCCAGAGGGAAGAGACAGAAGGGAACAGAAGGAGAGGGCACTGGCCTCCTGTCAGCAATGCCTATGTGGAGAGAACAGGGCCACCACCAGAAGCCTGCTTCTCTCCTCTGCTGTGCTGCAGGTGAGGCTCAGGGTCCCTGGGGCAAGCAGCTAGGTGGCTGGCACCACTTGTGCCCAGGCCCGCCTTCTCCAGGAGGGGGCCCAACCCAATGAGCAGGGTCTCCTGTGCACCACCCAGGGTCTCAAAACAGCACAACCACAGGAGCCTGTGTCTTTACAGTAAAAAAATAGAACTTTATTCCCTCAGATATTCAGATTTGCTCATGGGGACCAGCTGAGCCCCCGTGCCATGCGGTGTCTACAGGCCTCTCTTGCCCACTGTGAACAAGCTGGGCACGGGCCAGCAGCTCTCTGCCTTCTGAGTGCGCTCTCCTGCAGGGTGGGCCATGCATGGGCCCCACTTCTTGCCAGGAGCTGTGGGGTCTGGGCTGGGGAGTCCATCCTGGAACATGAGAACACTCATGTGGTGGGGGCTCCAGGCACTCCCAGCCAGACCCACAGACAGCGCAGGAGGGCCAGCAGCCAAGGCTGCCACTGCACCAGCTGCTGCTCCATGAACTCGATTCATGCACTGGGAGCCCAGGGCACCTGCTCTCTGGACGCTGGGGACCCAGCAGCCCAAAGCAGGCCTGCCATCCTCAGAAGACAATGGAGCAATACACCGGCACAGGGAGTGCCATCAGAAGGATGGCAGAAGAGACAGAGGCTTAGGGGCGCAGGGGTGGGGAGGACATCTCTGGGAAGCTGATACCTGGGTGAAGGGAGGGAATGATGCTTGCAGGTGGGGAGAGGAGTGTGTACAGATGGGGCAGTGGCGCAAAGGCCCTGCAGCACACATGGTCAGCTGTAGGGCCTCCATAATCCTCGACTTGCCCTCATGTCCTCTGTGCGCTTGGCTCACCCCTGCTCTGAGGGAGGCCCACCTGCCAGGACACAGGTCTCTTCCTGGTTGCGAGGGTGATGGGCTCCCCCAGAACTCACCTGCTGTTCACACCAGCCGTCTCCGCTTCCGGATGTGCCGGGTGCGCCGGGTTCTGAGCACGTCAAGGTCATCAGCGTCAAGATCCTCAGAAGCACCCCAACAGAAAGGAGCAGAGCCCTCGCCAGGATCCAGGGCTCTCTGAATCAGAGTCCAGGCAGGGAAGGGTTATTCCCTCCCCCACCATAAGGGTGGGGGGGAGAGGAGGGGCTCTGGGTGAGCATCACCAGGGACAGGCCACTCAGAGACATGCAGTGCTGGCTCCCACTGCCCTCTCCCTCGCCAACCCCCTTCCAGGCACTGCCCCAGGGGAGTCTCCTCTCCCAGGATGGGAGAGCCAGCACGCCACATGAAGTGGGCACAGGAGCCTCCCCCTGGCTGTTGGGGTCCAAAGCCCACCACCTGGGCAGGCAGTGCTTTATCCCTGGCTCCAGCCTAGGTCGCCCAGGACCCTGCAGCAGCAGCCAAGGAAGGGACGACGGCTCCCAGCTGCCCTCCCACGTGTCCTGACAATAGGCTACAGGCCACTGCTGAGACGGTCTGGGTGGGACCGGTGGCTTCTCAGGGAGAAACCTTGGATGGGGCCTCCACAGACCTCGGCAGGGCACAAGGGCCCAAGGTGCCCAGCAACCACATGCCTCTCACTGCAGGCTCTTGTGGGAACAGAACGCTTTCCTACAAAGACTGGAAATCTTCCCCTCCTCATCTGGTGTATGGAGATGACTCCAAGAGGGACTTTTGTCCCCCAGAAGGGCAGGGCCCCTGGGGCATGTGGGGTCGTGGCTGGAGGTCAGCCTCTGCTCCCGAGCCTCTTGTGCACACAAGGTGCCTGGTGGGGCGGCAGCGCCCGTCGGGGGGGCTCCCTCTTCGCTTCCACAGTGCCCAGGGGCAGCCACTTCCGCACAGAACCGACACGCGATGGCCGGCCCGGGCTGGCTTCCTCCTCCCGAGTCGCCAGCAGCCAGGCCTCCCACCACAACTTCTGCCCATTCACGAAGGGAAGGGGCCAAGGCTGGGCTCCCTCACCTGGACGGGGCTTGTGGCCACTGTGCAGCCCAGCTGCGCGTCCCCATCTGCAAGCCCTGGCTCGCCCGCGAGGTCTTCGTCTTCACCCTCACTCTCGGAGCCCACCCTTGTGGCTGCCGAAAGGGTGGTGGGGACACCATGGGGAGGGAGGGTGGCCAGGAGCGCAGGGAGGGTGAAGGCTGCCAGAAACCGTGCCTTCAGCAGGAGGTAGGCTGGGCTGTCCCGCAGCTGCCACCGTGCCAGCGCAAGTGAGGCCTGCAGGGATCCTGCTTGGGGCTCGGCTTCGCCCCCGGCCACCCCATCAGCCCTCAGGGAGGCGGCCTTGCACTCCAGAGTCTTCTTATGGAGCAGGAGGCCAGAGAGTGCACGCAGGCTGCACAGGGAAGGGGGCTGGTAGGGCAGCCTGTTCCCCAGGGGGGGCACACACACCCCCTGCCGTCCCCGCAGCCACTCCCGTGTGGCTGCTTCACTCTCCAGGGAGAGCAGGCCCAGGGCCAGGGCCCCCTTTTCAGACCCAGGCCAGGCTGAGGGCGGGCCCTCCAGGCCCAGGGGCCCCCTGGGCTCCTGCGCCAAGGGGGCCCCTGTCATCCCTCCTGGCTCACTCCCAGGGCCAGCAGCACCACCAGCAGGCGGCTGACTGGAGCACAGGACTGCCGCAGGGTGTTCAGCTGAGTGGCATGTCCTGGGCCCGGATCTCTCCCCGGCCCCCTGGGCCTCTCCAGGGACAAAGGCCACCTCACAATCCACTTCTGCAGGATTCTGGGACGGGGAGTGTGTGGGTGAGGCTGAGGGGTCTGTCCTGGAGAAAGGGTTTGGCCCCGCGTCTGTACTGGCTAGGATCTGTTGGGGGCCCTTGGCTGCCCGAGTGTCTGCTGGGGGAAGTACTGGGGTTAGCAGTAGTGCTGTGGGCTCAGGGGTCCCTGCTGGCCTGGGAAGGCCGACCATAGTTGGCACGGGGAGCAACCCCTGGGCTGTGAGCACCCAGGTGACAGGCAGGGGGACGCTGGCTGCCACGTGTGGCCCGCTCCCGTGTGTCAGGCTGAGGGGCCGAGCAGGCAGTGGCGTGGGGCTCGGGGTTGCAGGGAGAAAGGGCAGCGCCTCAGGCAGGCCCTGCTTCCGGGCCGTGGCCGGAGCCTGAGACTGTCCAGGACCACGCAAGGGGCAGCTCACAGGGCCCTGGCTGGGGCTCAGGGCAGGGGTTCTGGAGGCATCAGGGGCTGTGCCCTGAGTCCCCATGGAGGCAGGAACGAGGGCCAAGGCCTGCTGTGTGGAGGGCCGCTCATCCTGGGCTGAAGTCCCACGCTCTTGCCAGGAGCCAGCAGTGCTGGAACCACCTGCTGCAGAGGCCCCGGACCTGGAGCACACTGTGTCTGAGATGGCAGGCCTTGGGGCTGAGGACCCATGGGGGGCCGGCGGGAGGATCACAGGTGAGGAGACCAGCAGCTGGGGTGGCAGCAGTGTGGGGCCCTGGGCAGCCTTCCTGGCACAAGCCTCTCGAAGACGTTTTTCTCGAAGCAGTTCTGACACGGTCTTGGGTTTGGGTCGGGGGCCATGTGGAGCTGGTGGGAGTGCCTGGGGTGGGGTGTGTGTGCGGCTGGCCTCCAGCCCTCTGCTCCCTCTCTGGCGGGTACTCTTGGTAGCTTCTCGAGCTGGCACATCAGGGGAGAGGCAGCCTGTGAGGGAGACAGACCTGTGCTTCAGGATGGCCCCTGGCATCTGGCCCAGGGACAGTCCTGCCCTGCCATCCCCCCCAGGAGAGCCGTGTGGTGGGCGCTATGGGAATGGTGGTCACAGGAGCCAGGTCTTAAGCCAAGAGGGTCTCCAGGTCTCCCTACCCACAGCACCCCAGACCTGGGAAACTCAGCCTGTGAATGCCAGCCCAGGACCAGCTACTAAATCTGGAGCCTCTCCAAACCCAGGACTGCTAGGTATCACTGCTCTCCCCACCCTTCTTGAGAAAGTACCACCCTCTTGGGATCCCAGGCCCTCCCTGGCTGGTGTGGGGTGTGGGCAGACCAGTGGTGGCCACAGAGCCTCCACAGCCTTCGCTAGGGAAACCCCAAGCTCGCCCAGCCAGATTCTCATCCTTGCAGGGAACTCAGAGGGACCTCATCATCGGGGCTGCAGCCTGTGCTGCCCAGAGGCTGGAGTTCCAGCCAGCTGAAGGTTAGGCCTGTCCCACTAAGACAGAGAGAACAGAGGTGGTACCTGGGGTGCTCTGGACACCTGAGGGTGCCTGAAAAGGAAGGGACAAGAGTTGGCACCTCAGGGGGCCTCCATGGGCTCAGGCCATGCCCCTCACAGCCAGACCAGCCCTTGCCATGTCCCACGGTGGACGTGGCCCCAAGTGCCGGCCCCCACTGCAGGACTCCAGGGCAGGGGAGCAGGCAAGGCCACTGAGAGCACAGGGCTTCAGGCAAGGCCAGGCTCCACGCCCCCCCAACACTGATTCTCCTGAGGAACCCTCAGGCGCTCATCAGGGGTTGGGGCAGTATGGGGTTTCCGGGGGAAGAGGGGGTCAGGAGCCGTGAGGCCCTGCATTTGGACCTGATGAGGAACACGTGTTGAGGTCCTCCTGCCCCCCCCCC